AGACTCACTAGCACACCTTAAAACCAGGACTGGGGAGGACCAAGCTGTTTCAAAACAAATTGACTACATGCCAGAAAAAAAAGGCTCCTTGTTTGTAGCTATATAAAAAGACCCCAGAACCCAAAAAAGTAAAGTCAACATTGCTCAGTGCCCCATAATACACTCCAGCCAGGTATGAGAGAAGACAAGCAAACCAACATGGAACTGTAAACCAGTAAAAAAGTGGACACTGTATAAAACAGTAAGAAAGTGGATCTGTCAAAATGACAGAATGGCAGCCCACAGAATGGGAAAAGATCTTCACCAAACCCAAATCTGACAGAGGTCTAATATCCAAAATATATGTAGAATTTAAGAAACTAGACATCAAAAAACCAAATAATCCAATTTAAAAATGGGATACAGATCTAAATAGAGAATGCTCAACAGAGGGATCTCAAATAGATGAGAAACACTTAAGGAGATGTTCAACATCCTTAGCCATGAGGAAAATGCCAATCAAAATGACACTGAGATTCCATCTTATGCCTGTCAAAATGACATCAAAATGACACTGAGATTCCATCTTATGCCTGTCAGAATGGCTAAGATCAAAAACACAAGAGACAGCTCATGCTGGAGAGGATGTGGAGCAAGGAGAACACTCCTCCACTGCTGGTGGGAGTGCAAACTTGTACAGCAGTTTTGGAAATCAATATGGTGGTTTTTCAGAAAATTAGCAATCAGTCTACCTCAAGACCCAGCTATATCACTCCTGGGCATATACCCAAAGGATGCTCCACCATACAACAAGGACATTTCCTCAACTATGTTCATAGTAGCTTTAATTGTAATAGCCAGAAACTGGAAACAACCTAGCTGTCCCTCAACCAAAAAATGGATAAAGAAAATGTGGTACATTTACACAATGGAGTATTTACTCAGCTGTTAAAAACAATGACATTAGGAAATTTGCTGGCAAATGGATGGAACTAGAAAAAATTATCCTGAATGAGGTAACCCAGACCCAGAAAGACAAACATGGTATGTACTCACTCATAAGTGGATACTAGATGTAAAATAAAGTTGAACCATGCTGTGATCAGTGACAGATTCAGAGAAACTAGGTAACAAGGAGAGCTGGGGCCAGGGGGGGCGAGTATGACATTGCCATTGGATGGGGGAGGCACATGGAAAGGGGGTGGAGATGGGAACAGGAGGGATTAGGTGGGGGGATGGAGGGAGAGAGTACTGGGAGAGACAACTGGACTCTGGGGGCATCTCTGGGATGAGCTAGAAACCTAGTGGAATGGAAATGCCCAGGAATCTATGAGGGTGACTGTGTTGATATTTTATTTGTGCACCCCAATAAAGCTTATCTGAAGATCAGAGGAACAAGCCAGCCACTATATTAAACACAGAAGTCAGGCAGTGGTAGCACATGCCTTTAATCTTAGCATTTGGGAGGCAGAGATTCATAGGATCTCTGTGAGTTCAAGGCCACACTGGGAACAGAGCCAGGCATGGTGGCACACGCCTTTAATCCCAGCACTAACCATAGAGGTCTGGAGGTCTGTACAGACAGGAAGTGATAAGCTTGGCAGAGAGAGGAAGTAAGAGGGCAGGGACAGAAAGGATATAGGTGTGGGTATACAGGAAGTAGGTCTCTCTTTGGGCTGAGGATTTCTAGCGATAAGAAAGTGGCTGGCTTCCTTCTGCTTCCCTGATCTCTCAGTTTTCACCCCAATATCTGGCTCCAGTTTTTATTTTTTATTTTTATTAACAAGACCATTTAGCAATTCATCTTACAGGTGACCTTAGCTAAGACTCCTAGCAATGGGGGATACTGGGCCTGAACTGGTCATCTCCTGTAACCAGGCAAGACTTCCAGTGGAGGGAAACAATCCAGCCACAAACCCTTCAACCTGTATTTTGCCCTCCCTATAAGATGTGTTGGGGTAAAGGTGGTGCAGAAATTGTGGGAACGGCCAACCAATGACTGGCCCAGCTGGAGACCCTTACCCTGAGAAGGAGCTCACTGCTGAGGGTCAGGACCCAGAGGTGGGATACCCCAGAGACCTAGGATAGAACCAAACATGACTGAGGAAAAAAAAAGTCAATGAATGATTCCTATGATATTCTGCTGTCCTCAGATTGGTGCCTAGCCCAACTGTCATCAGAGAGGCTTCATCCAGCAACTGATGGAAACGGAAGCAGAGACCCACAGTCAAACATTAGGCCGAGCTCAGGGAATCCTGTGGAAGAGGCGGAGGAAAGATTGTGCTTTGTAGAATGTTATTTTAAGATGTGCTACTTCTGTCTATGTTGCATTTGTTTAACTCAGTGAAGCTGGGTTACTGTGCCTGTCTAAAGCCTGATGTTCTAATAAAGAGCTAAACAGCCAATATCGAGTCAGGAGAAAGGATGGGTGGGGCTGGCAGGCAGAGAGAATAAATAGAAGGAGAAACTTGGGCAGAGAGAAGATCTAGGAGTGAGAGAAGGATCCTGTTTCTTCATTTCCTCACTGCCCCAGTCTCTGTCTCTCTGTGTCTGTCTGTCTGTCTGTCTGTCTCTCTCTCTCGGTCGTGTGTGTGTGTGTGTGTGTGTGTGTGTGTGTGTGTGTGTGTGTGTCTGTGTGTGTGTGTGTGTCTGTGTGTCTAAAACAGGCACTGAGGCAGCTTCCAATGACCTGCAGTACCAAAAATAGACACCAGAGAGAGCAAGAGACCACAAGCTTCTGCGTGGGGGTGTGTGTGGGGGGATTGACTTTCCCCCCTTCTTCTGATGTTGTTGGTGTGGAGGGGTTCCCTTCTCATCACAGAGGACCCCCAATGTTAACATGTCAAAACATAAGAAAATATGGAAAATAAAAAGGCATGATTAATACAAACTCACGAAGTCAATTTCAAAATTACATTTATTTAGTCCTTGATATCAAACCTAGAAATACATGTTTCACATACTATAGACAGCTCTTTTATGTTTTGCCAGGCATGGTGGCACATGCCTGTAATCCCAAGATGTGGGAGGCGGAGGCAGGAGGATCGCTGGTTTTGGATTAACCTGGGTTACAGAGCTAGACAGTATCTCAAAACGGGAACAAATGAGAACTTGCTGTTTTAATACCGTGTTGATGTTTTACTAGAATTTTGTAGAATGTTTTATTTAGAACATGATGCTATATTTTGACATTAGCATACATAAATATTATATAATGAACAAAGTTTGAATACTATGAATTTTTTTCTACGGAGAAGAAATCAGCAGATGTAACTTATTCCCCCTTTTTAAAAAAAAAAACAAAAAACAGTTTTTCTCAGGAGCTTTTTTTTTTTTTTTTTTTTTTGGTTTTTTGAGACAGAGTTTCTCTGTGTAGCTTTGCACCTTTCCTGGAACTCACTTTGTAGAGCAGGCTGGCCTAGAACTCACAAAGATCCACCTGCCTCTGCCTCCCTAGTGCTGGGATTAAAGGCATGTGCCACCACCGCCTGGCTTTCTCAGGAGCTCTTAAGAACACTTGTGGCTCTTCCAGAAGATCCAAGTTCTGTTCTCAGTTCCCAAGTCGGGCAACTCACAACTACTTGTAATTCCAGCTTCAGGGATCCAATACCCTCTTCTGACCTCCTTGGACATTTGCACACATAGGGAATATGCTCACAGAGACACATGCACATGCACAGAATTAAAAGTTTTAAAATAATTTTAAGAAGCATTAATCTCTCCAAAAGCTGTCACGAGGCCCCTGAGTTCATCTTTCTCTTGTATTTCTTGGCCCTGCCTGGAGGTACCTACTCAGGGTTAGGGCTGAGGGCTTTGGCCTTAAGAGTGTAGGCTCCCTAGATAAAGAAAAATATAAGGGGGAAAATAAAGTGTAGGGTCCCATCTGTGGCTTGTAATTTCACACACAGGCATCTAAAGCAATGGTTCTCAACCTGTGGGTCATGATCCCTTTGGGTTTACATATTCGATATCCTGCATATCAGATATTTACATTATAATTAGCAACAGTGGCAAAAATACAGGTATGGAGTAGCAATGAAAGAATGTTAGGGTTGGGGTCACCACAACATGAGGACCTGTGTTAAAGGGTCTCACCATTAGGAAGGTTGAGAACCACTGGGCTAGAGGGAGTCCGCCTCCAAAACATGTTTGTACTTCTGGAAACAGCAATGGGGCTTCGTGCCTGTTACTGTGGTGGCAAGACATGGTTGGGTGTGTGGCCAGGCTGCTCCCTGCTTGTTACCCCACCCTTCCTTCCCTCTCAAAGGAGATTCCTGCTCACTTTAAGATGTAACATGTCTAACTCTAACCAATAAAAGACCATAAGACAAACTGGGCGTTGGTGGTGCACACCTTTAATTCCAGCACTCAGGAGGCAGAGGCAGGAGGATCTCTGTGAGTTTGAGGACAGCCTGATCTACAAAGTGAATTCCAGGACAACTAGGGCTATTACACAGAGAAACCCTATTTCAAAAAACAAAAACAAACAACAACAACAACAAAGACCAAATGACAGCATCGATGGCCAAAACAACAATTACCTCTCACAGGCTGCTCTGAGGGCCACTGAGATGTCATCAAAGTGGGCAAGGGGGGCTTCCCAGAAAGCTGTTGGGAAATTCTCTTTTCCTTTCCTCTCCTCACCTGGGATGCTACAAGATGGCTGGTGCCTCAGCAGCCACCTTGGAAACACTAGGATCAATGTATATTCCTGGGGGCAAGAGAAGCCTGGAAGGGACCTCAATTCTAGCTTTGGATTTCTACTCTGGATTTGTCATTGAAATAGTGATGCTCATAAACTCTTAGGTTGTTTAGCTTGATATCATTAGGATTTTCTGTTCCCCACAACTGAGATTCAAGTGCCTCTTCTAATATTAGTAAAATTCTATTCTAGTTTTTGGATGTTTTTCTTTTCCAGAAACAGTCTGAGTGGGTGAATGGGAGGATGCAGGTGACATCCCAGGTCAGGCTTCGTGTCTTTCTATCTTGGACATCCAAACACCTAGCTGGCTCTCCCCATGCTAAGAGGACTTCAAGCCACTGTTGAGGAACCTTGTCATGGTCTCCTTCATATCCTTGTTCCTCAGGCTGTAGATGAAGGGGTTCAGCATGGGGGTCACCACAGTGTACATGATGGTGGCCACTGTGTCCTGGGTGGAGAAGGAGTCGGGGGGCCGTATATAGATTCCCAGAACAGTCCCATAGAACAGGGTGACCACGGACAGGTGTGAGCTACATGTGGAAAATGCCTTGTGCCTGCCCTTGGCAGAGGGTATCTGGAGGACCGCTATAGTGATTCGGACGTAAGAGACCACAATAAGAATGCAGGGAGCCACAAAGAGTACCACAGCCCCCAGGAAGACACGTTGATTGACTCGTGTGTCTGAGCAGGCCAACTTCATGAGCAGGTAAGCATCGCAGTAGAAGTGAGAGATCTCGGGAAGCAGAGAGCAGAAGGTCAGTCTGCTCATGAGGAGAGTGTGCACCAGGGAGATGAGGCCAGAGCACACCCACACGATGGCTGCCAGCCCCCCACAGAGCTGGGGGGTTATGATGGTGCAGTACTGTAGCGGGTAGCAGATGGCCACGAATCTGTCCAGGGCCATGGCAGCCAGCAGAAAGGTGTCCACATTGGCAAAGGAGATTAGAAAGTACATCTGAGTCAGGCAGTGGGTGTAAGAGATAGTTCGTGTTCCAGCCACATGGCTGGCCAGGAGCCTGGGGATGAGATTGGTGGTGAAGCAGATGTCAACAAGGGAAAGGTTGGCCAGGAAGAAGTACATGGGGGTGTGCAGGCGGGGGTCAGAGCTGATGGCCAGGAGGATGAGAGTGTTCCCAGTCAGCGTGACCAGGTACATGCACAGGAAGGCCCAGAAGAGGATTTGCTGCTGCCCTGGGTCATTGGTGATGCCAAGCAGGAGAAACTCGCTGACTCCCGTCTCATTCTTGAACATCTCACAGGGGCTCAGGCTCCTGGTGGGGTAGGCTGAACAGCAGGAACTCCTCACTGTGTGTTCAGAATCAGATCACAGATCATATGTAGGACCTTTCTACCAGAATTCTCTCTCTCTCTCTCTCTCTCTCTCTCTCTCTCTCTCTCTCTCTCTCTCTCTCTCTCTCTGTGTGTGTGTGTGTGTCCAGAAGAGGGCATCGTATTCCCTGGAGCTGGGGTTACAGGTGGTTGTGAGCCATATGTGGATGCTGGGAAGTGAACTTGGGTTCTCTGGAAGGTACACACGTGCTCATACCCACTGTGTCTTCTCTCCAGACGCCCCCCTCCCCTTATGTATTTGTTTGGTTTTTGAGGCAAAGTCTCTTGCTGGCCTGGAAGTTGCCAATTCTATTCAGCTGGCTCACAGGTGAACCCCAGCAATCCTCCTGCCTCTGCCTTCCCAGCACTGTGATTCCAAGCCTGCCTAGCTTTGATTATTAGTTCACTTAATGTGAATTCTGGACATTAAGCTCAGGTTCACTACCTACTGAGCCATCTCTCTAGCCCATAATAACCACCTTTTAATCGAGTTCAATTGCACTAGAGATTGCATGTAATTTTTCCTAATTTCCATCTTATAAAATGAGTTCTTCCCTTGTGCCCATTCTTCAGATGAAGTTGTTGAGGCGTATACCAAGGGACTGGTGCATGGGCAAAGGACTTCAAATCCGATGTGGTCTGACCCCAGAGCTGGGCTTTCTCTGGCATGCTTCAAGCACCCTGTTGAATTGGTTCTCAGATGCTATGTGCTGAGGGCAAGGACTATGCACCAAGGCTTTGACCCGCACACAGTGAACCCCCCCCCCCTTACCCCACAGTGTCGGAACACGGTCAAAAGATGGACACAGTGAAAAATGCCGTGGAGAGCTATGGGAGAGGCTCCTGGGAAAAGGCAGAGGGCCTTTTACCCTCAAGGCGTTCTGTTCCCTTGATTGTTCTTGGGTGTGATTTCACGCCTCCTGCGACAAATATTTACATTCAATTTGTAGAACACGCTTACTCTAGCTGGATGTCAGAATATAGCTCTAGAAACCAATCTGGTCAGTGCACCTGAGTCTGGGTTCTGCCTCTGTCTTGCTTCCATGCTTTCCCAGATAGAATCTACAGTACACGCCAGTCAATTGTGTTTAAACTGGTCTGTCTGAGGAAGTTCTGGGAAAGGGCTGCTCTGTCAATGTTTAGTGTGTGCTTACTGGAGTTTATTTACATGTTTTTCTGGTCATGTTTTTCTGAACTCAAACAACCTGCCTTGGATCATCACTTTCTTTGTTACATTTGTGTGTAAAAGCACGCTGAAACTGAAGTAAGGTTGTCTGCAGCATTAGACCGTAGGCTGGCAAAAGTCAACACTGCAGCAGCCATGGCATACAGGGACACCAGGAAACAAGCCTGGCCTCAAAGCACCCGCAGCAAGGAGGCATAGCACAGTAGGAATGTGCTGGCAAACATTTCCGGAATCTTCAGACTGAGTGTGTGACTACCTCGGGAGCCCAGGACAGGAAGGAAGCAGAATAGGTTTATGTGTGGGAGGGACTCTAATGCCCTTTTCTGGCTTCCAAAAGCACCTGCCTGCAAATATGCTCCACACACAGTTGTTTTTTCTTTAAAGAAATAAAATTGACATTTAAAGCATGAGATGCATTCCAACATAGTGAGAATTGAGAGCTGACCCCGACATTGTTCAGCCAGTGGAAGTGTTGACAAGTCTAAGGTCATCGGTCTATAGGAGTTTCTGCCGTGACACTCTGAAGGAGGACTCCAAATAACCCAGGGCCTGTGACTACTGAGACCAGAGGTGGGTAAACTGGTTTCTACCAGCCAGACCTGGCCTCCAGGTGTTTTTCCTTTGAGCCTGTGTCTGGACTGTTCCATGAAGGACCATATGTTGTAGACATGGTTTCCAGAGTGATCTGCTGAGAAGTGATGGAAATTTGAAGAAGTAGGTCCTGAGACTGGAGTCATATCTAGGCTGGTTAAGAGCACTGGCTGCCCTTGGCAGCTTACAACAGTATGTATCTCCAGTTTTAGAAGATATGACGTCCCCTTCTGGGTTCCATGCATATTTCACACAGGTGGTGCACTACATACATGCAGGCAAAAAGCTTATACACACAAAAACAGATAGATAGATAGATAGATAGATAGATAGATAGATAGATAGATAGATGGATGGATGGATGGATGGATGGATGGATGGATGGATAGATAGACAGACAGACAGATAGATAGCATATTTTGAAGTTGGACTGCTGGTAGGTCTTCTGGCTACTGGGATGTGTGCTTGAGGTGGTACTAACCCTCTCTCTCTTTCTTGTCCTGTTCACAACACGCACGACTTTGTTACGTCACACACTTGTAATACCATGTGCTGCCTCACCACAGGCCACAGGCAAAGGAGCCAACTGACTATGGACTGAAACCCCTCTATAACCGTGAGACAAAATCAACCTTCCATCTCTGAGCTGATTGTCTCAGATGTTAGTTACAGCAATGGAAGCTGACGAACATCTCCCATGTTCTGCAAACGTTTCACATTGGTTGAGAGTTAAAATATTCACGGGAAATCTGGGTTTCTGACCCTTGGGAAGTCTTAAGCCCTGGAACATTCACACACTCATTCTCATAGGGCATCAATCAGTCAGGAAAATGAAAGAGCTAATAATCAATGAACAGCCAGTTTGCTTTAGAAATGCTCTGTGATTGCTCTCTATACTGATTTCCTTTGTGTCTCTAAGATCCTTCCTCTGTAGGAGTTTATGAGTGTCCCCGGGAGACTGGGAGGCACAGCAAAGGTAGAGGACTCCCCAAGCAGCAGAGATAATACCCTCTGCTCCAGGTAGTCGGTTCCGATCACCAAGGTCCCCTCCTATTCTGGTCCTGAAGTCACTGGGGGAAATATCTACCATCTACACAGTTCCCACCGGTTAGCCTGGCGCTCCGGGTGGTGGAGACGCTGGGGCAGTTCTAAAAGCTGGGATGGAGAGAGTGTTATGTCTGTTACAGAAAGATAATTTTAGATGCAGACCATTCACTTCTATCACTTGAAACAGAAACGAAATGTAAGGGATTCTTAGTGTTTGTTTTTTGAGACAGGGTCTCATTTAGCCCAGGCTGGCCTTGAACTTGCTATTAGCTGAAGATGACCCTGAACTCCTCATCCTTCTGCCTCCACCTCTGGGTACTGAGATTACAGCCACGTGCCAATACTCCCATCTTGGAGTTTTAATTCTTAAAGGACATCTTTTACTTTCATTCAGGTTCAAAGTAAAATGGCAGAAGCGAGGGTTCTCACCCAGTTGCTCACTCAGGTGAGCAGGTGCACATGAAGTGTGCTGTTTGGTCCCTGTCAGACCACCAGATAATACAGGACCAGACCCTGCCCCATGGTGACACGACTGTATTCCAGAAAGTGCCAAAGAGGCACACAACTGACATGTTGCAAGGCAAAGGGGGATGGGCTGGGACTGCAGTTTGGTTAGTAGCGTGCTTGCCTGATGGAGCGCTTGCCTGGTGGAGTTCTTACCTAGTGGAGTACTTGCCTAGCATCCATGAAGTTCTGGCTTTGATCCCCAGCACAGCACAAACCAGGCACACACCTGTGATTCCTGCACTCTGGAGGTGGAGGAAGAGTTTGAGGCCAGCCTGGGAGCATATGAGAACCTGTCTCAAAAAGACACACATACATATATATATATGCATACAGAAGAAGGATGGAGAGACAGACAAAAGGAAAGACAGATGGACAGACAGAGGAAGGAAGGAAGGAAGGAAGGAAGGAAGGAAGGAAGGAAGGAAGGAAGGAAGGAAGGAAGGAGCTCTTGAAAGGCAGGCAAGGGGGAGGTAATTGAGATGTGTCAAAAATTCACAGTCTTAGGTAAAAGGTGCTTGGCTTATGAGGGGAAATGTGTGGAGAATATTACATAATAAAAAACAGCTGATAGTCAGGGAGCCTGTACAGGTCTGACCTAAGTCCTCTGCATATGATATGATTTCTTAGCTTGATGTTCTTATGGAACTCGCAACAGTGGGAGCTTGTGGATGTCTCTGACTCTTTGGCCTACTTTTGGGACCTTTTTCCTCCTATAGGGTTGCCACATCCAGCCTTGATGTGAAGGGGTGTGCCTAGTCTTAGTGTAACTTATGCCTTGTTTGGTTGATATCCCTGGGAGGTCTACCCTTTCCTGAAGGGAAACAGAGGAGAAGTAGATCCAGGAGAGAGGGAAGATTCGGGGAGAAGGGACTGGGAGGAGAGGAGGGAGGGGAAACTGAGGTCAGGATGTAATATATGAGAGAATGACTAAAAAACAAAAAATTAGAAAAATATTTTCTTTTAAAGTCAGTATTGCCTTCCATCATCTAATAATCTCAAGAGAAATATTAGTACACTTTCTGGTTGATCAAGACCTTGTACTTGGAGCGGCCCCCTCTCCAGCTGTCCATATTCCATCCTCAGCACACTGCAACTCCAGAGGAAATCGAGGCAGACAAAGACAGAGGAGACTGGTGCCCCTGCCCCCACCCTGGCTCCTGCTTAATCTAGAAATGGATCTGATTCTTGAGCAGATGACTTGACCTGGTCTGGGTGACAATAGTGAGCAGTGGAAGAGGAGGATGAGAGAGAGGTATCTTGAAGACCAAGGGGACAGTTCAGTGATTAAGTACTGGTCTCTATGCACAAGGCACTGGGTTTGAGTTTAGCACCACAAAAGATCAGCATATGAAAGAAACCAAGGGCAGAACACACCAAGGCTGACACGTAGCATGTGCCAAAAAACACCCATGTTTTGTGCAAATGTCCCATTTTACGGGGCATCCCTGTGCCTTTGAGCTTTCTCCAGTCCTAGCCAATCCCCCACCCGCTTGGAAATGACTTTCTCCTTCTCCAGACCGTCTCCTTTTCTGTCACTATGCATATGTGTCTGTCCATATTTTTGTACAAGGACATAGGAACCTGGACATCCCAGGCTCAATACCCAGTCCATTCCTATAACACGCTGGCCTCAGACCTACGTGTCATAGGTGACAGAGCAAGTCTCCAATTCCAGCTGCCCTCTTCTGACCCAACTGCCTGAGCTGGTCTGAACTCCTTTCCCTGGGTTCTGGCCCTGGCATCCTATCATCTCTCCAGAAGCAAACTGAAGTTCCATGACTGCCCACCTGAGCAGAGGAGTTTGGCAGGGGCCCTGGTAGGTGACATGAGTGGTTCCACCTGCCAGTCCTGGAACTTGCCACCTGCCTTGCTGAAACCTATATGATGCTTCAATCATATGGCTCCCATTCGGAGTGGGATCCTCCATCTCCCCAAAGTGGTCTGCTTCCTTTCCACTCAGATGTTCAACACCTCTGTAGACTGGAGCTTAGCATGGCTCTGAGGTGGGGTGGTTTGAAGAACACTTTACAAAGTCACTGTGCAGAAGACAGTAATTCTGGGGGAACTTGGGGAGTGTGGGATCTGCAGTTACCTGAGTGAGGGTGTATGTAACAGGGTCATTGCACCAGTTCCCGACATGATCAAATATGCACTTTCTACCTGTCATAGCGTTCAATACTGAGACATAGTACTCCCAAGCCACAATGAAACAACATCCCAAATATTATCTAGACAACCAAAATGTATCAAGATTTCCCCCTCGGGTCACTTTCCTTACCTTCTTCAGGCCTGACTGTTGCCAGATAGGAGAGCAGGGGCCATGAAACTGTGAGCAACTAAAGCAAAAGCTGACCAACAATGGCCACCTCTGTGTAGGTAGCAGCCCCCTCTTTTCTCACTGTTCTCTGGTGAGGGTGCCGTATCTGGGCTCCTGGGTGGCACGGTTTGTCTTCCTCTGGGCTGGAACAGTTTCATTTCATGCATGTTGGTAGTTTTATAATGTCTAGCACAGAGAGAACCCCCAAAGTGCCTTATTACAGGCTATTCAGGAGGGAGTTTGCCTTGCTTCCTCTGACTCTCCAAGGCAGTGATTCTCAACCTGTGGGTCATGACCCCCTAGGGTTTGCATATCCGATATTCATATTACAATTCATAACAGTAGCAAAATTACAGTTATGAAGTAGCAACGAAATAACATTATGGTTGAGAGTCACCACAACATGAGGGGCTGTATTAAAGAGTTGCAGTATTAGAAGCTGAGAACCACGGCCCTAAGGGCTGAGGAAGGAAGAGGAACATTGTTCCTACTGCAGGTCGATGGTGTGCATTTTCTGTGGGAATCTACTGGACCCCAGTGGATTCACTGAAGATGCTGGCCACATCTTTTCTAAATGGTCTCTCCCCATTTCTATTCTTATCAAAGGATGAGAGAGATGAGGAGCAGAGATCCTAATTGGCAACACACATAACTAGATTATATTCAGAATTTATTTTTTTGAAGTTGATTGAAATGTCAACAAAAAAAAAAAGTGTTGGAGATTGGACCGACACACAAGAGGTAGAGAATTCTGGGAAAGGTGCGACTCTGCATCCATGCGTCTTCTCATTGCCGTGACAGAATGTCTGGCAAAGGTACTTGAGGAAGTGTTCATTTTGACTCATGGTTTGAGGGGACACAGTCCACCGTGGTGAGAGGAAATGGTGGTGGCCGTGTGAGGCAGCCGGTCACATTGTACCTGCAGCCCGGAAGCAGAGGGAGGTGAATGCTGGTGCCCATTCCACTTTCTGCCCAGATACAAAGGTGTCTGGGGAACTGCAGAGCGAGGGACAACCATCTGTTTCAACAACCACTCAGGTAAAGCCAAACGTCTCTCCTGTTGTCAGTGGTTTGCAAACAGTTGGCCCCAAAGACTTAGCAGTACTAGACAGAAATCGTCTATATGGTGCTCCCAGAAGTCTAGGCTGAGGGAAAGGGGGTTTTTGGACCAGGCCTGAAGTCTACTAATTCAGGCCCTAGAGAAAAAATTGCCGGGCTCCTTTTGGAGGCTTTGTGTGTGCCCACATCTTTTTAAAGTTTCTTTTGTTTTTGTTTTTTAAATTAGTGATTACCTGTACAGAATGATGGGTTTCACTACGACATTTTCAAAAATGTACGTAATATATTTTGATCATATTCGCTCTTTTACTCCTTCCAAGCAGATTTTCTCCATGACAAATGATGACTTTTCTCAGAGGGGAGAGGTGGAGTGGTTGTTTTTTTTTTTTTTTTCCTTTTGACTCATTGCCCTTTGATATACCCATAGACTTCCTGTTCCCATCCTCCTCTTTAATTATTTTACTATTGTAGGGTGGGGTACATGTGTGGCACAGAGCACATGTGGAGGTCACAGGCCATTTTGGGGCATCTGTTCTCTCTCTCCATTGTGTGACCCAGGGGTCCAGCCAAGTGGTCAGGTTCCACAGCAGACTGCCTCACCAGCCCCCTATCCTCCTCTTTATACACAATTTCCATTGAGGGGCAGAGATGGGGAGCTTGGCTACTTATAACTAAGCAGAGATTGACAGGAGTACTGTCTGGACGTGAGGAAAGACAGTGGGAAGCAACCTTGTGGGCCCTTAGTCCTCAGGTGTGGAATACAAGAGTCTGACGTCAAAGACACTAGTACCATACACCAAATGAACTCAGAGTTGGAATTGAAGTTCTGGCTTCCAGTTGGGATCTGACCATTAATTTATGTCCCTATGTCCCTATGGTCCTATAGTAATGCTGGACACTTCAGCTTTAAGATAATCTCTGCTTCCAGCAGAGACTTGAAGGGACACTAAGGATTCCATCTGGGACGCAGACGGCGTCTGAAGCGTCTGTTGCTTATTCCTGTATTGTACCTGTGCTCAATAGTGAAACACCACAAAGTCAGGTTGTGTGTATGTGGGGGAGCCCAGCAAGAGCCCTACCCTGAGCTGTGATGGGCGATGAGACACAGGAAGAGTCCCCTGAGCAGCAATACACTGTGACTTATTGCGGCTTGCGTCCTGGAACCCTGACGAGGGGGGATGAGGCAAGGAAGACAGGACAGACACAAATAAAGGAAAGCTAGGATCAGGTGAGGCTGCTCACTCTGATGGAGGGCACCTACTGACCATCACAACCCAGAACCTCAGTGTGTTTATTACGCACAACCCAAGGGGAGGGGCTAGCTAGTCTCCCTAGGAGGTCTCTGTAGTTGAGCAGTCTCAGGCTGTAAACATGCCGGAGGAGAAAGCTGTAGTTGCTAATCATTGCACACTCACTCACTCACTCACTCACTCACTCACTCACTCACTCACTCACTTACACTTAGATTCCTAGGGAAAGCTTTGCCATCCCTACTGAGCCTTACCTGCCAATCTCATGGGGCTGAGTATTGAAGTCCTTCACAGGGCTGTGCCTGTGTCAACAATACACACTCACTCAGGGTTTCCTCTGCACCCTACAGCAGTAAAGAAACCCGTACAGTAGAGATGATGATTCTATAATTAACAGATCATAGTTGTTCAGATCCAGACAATCTAGCTTTTCTATGTCAGTCATGAGGATAGCTGAGGCCTTTGGGGAGCTGCGACTCTGAAGAGGATCAGCTATAAAGTCCTCTGAAGTTTCCTTGTTCACGGTGGGAGTCTTGCCTTAGACAGTTGCTGGACCTTTCCCCAAAGAAATAATTTCAAATATGTCTAAACTTCAACTCTTCTTGTGTGGAAAGAGAGCTTTAAAACCAAGCCTTAAAAGACATAACAAATTACTGGTTTGGGAACAATAATCTCTTGTCAACCTCAGATTTAAAAGGATGACCATGACCACATAGCCCTAATTCCAGGAAGGATCACAGTGGGCTTTAGAACTAGCAACATGGGGTTCTCTGTAAAGATGAACAAATTTATGATGTCCAGGAATTCTCTCAGTTCTAGAATTTTCAAACACTAAGATCTAAGAATTATCTTCCTCAGGGCTCCTTTGATGTCACGATTCCTCAGGCTGTAGATGAAGGGATTGACCATGGGTGTCACCACTGTGAAGATGACAGTAGCCACTGTGTCCTGTACTGTGTAGGTGGATGAAGGGTGCATATAAATGCCCAAGATTGACCCGTAGAAAAGGGAGACCACAGTGAGGTGAGATCCACATGTGGACAGGGCTTTCCTTATTCCGTGGGCAGACTGTAATTTCAGAACCTTAGAGAAGATATAGGCATAGGAAACAATAATGCATGTAAATGGTGTCAGAAATACCAGCCCACCAATGGTGAAGACCATCAGGTCGTTGATAAAGGTGTCAGAACAAGAGAGCTTCATGATAGGGTAGGGGTCACAGAAGAAGTGGTGCACTGCATTGTGGGAACAGAAGGTGAGCCGAACCATGAGCAGAGTGTGCAAGAGAGCATGCAGGTTTGTGATGATCCATGATATGGCCACCAGGAGGACACAGAGTCTGGGCCTCATCATCAGGGTGTAGTGGAGTGGGTGACAAATGGCCACATAGCGGTCATAGGCCATCACACTCAGCAGGAAGCCATCCATGTTGCTGAATGCTATGAAGAAATAGATCTGGGTCATGCACTCCGAATAAGAGATGGACTTGCTTCCCACAATGTGATTCACCAGCGCCTTGGGGACAGTGACAGATGGAGCACTAATGTCAACAGTGGAGAGGTTGGCCAGGAAGAAGTACATGGGTGTGTGGAGATGAGGGTCACAGCTGATGGCCAGCATGATAAGAAGGTTCCCAGAGATGGTGACCAGGTACATCCACAAGAACATCCCAAAGACGATCTCTTCTTTCTCTGATTGTCCAGTGAGTCCCAGGAGGAGGAATTCTGTGACCATAGTCTGATTGTTCCCATCCATGTCTGTGGAGAACAGTTTTATCATGCATCCAGATCATTTGCTAACATTTGAGCAAAAACATATTATTTCAACGAGTTTAATGATAGGTTGAGAATGAACTGAAACTGAGTTGTCTCTTTTGTAATCTTAAACAAAATCCTGGTGAGTTTCAGCAGGTTTGATTTACGAGTGGCTGTAGTTTTGTAAACCACTTCTATTGTCTATTCCCAAACTTGTTTGCTTTCTTTTGCAATATTTAAACTTAGTCTAATGATTGAGGTTAATATAATTCACCTTGTGGATAAAGAAACCTATTGGATTGGTCATGTAATTAATCAATTGCATATTAGAAAGGAGAACTCAAGATAATCTTGTGATCTCCCTTTTACTATATAAACACACACATGTATGTATATTTATTTGCTCAAACTATATGTATTTTTTTTGAGACAGGATATTGATATGTCACCCAGGCTGGTCTTGATACCATGGACTCAAGCTATCCTCCTCTATTAGGCTACTCAGCATTGGGGGCTACAGGTTTAAGGACCCATCTGGCTGTCTTTATGCTGTATTTCATACAGCTGCCATTTGTTGACAGTTTAACCACATGGTAAATTGTTTATTAGATGCTGTCTACAAATGTGTAGATTGTGTTTGAGGCTCTTCTGTATCCTCAGACTTTGGAATGTTCCTGGGCTTTGAAAGGTCTGTCCAGTGGCTCTAAACTCTCAGCATTTTATCTGCCGCAGACCTGTTTTCACCCCAGTCCACCGCGGTTGGTCCACTACTCCAGCTGTGTACAAGCTCCTTCAACTTCCACACCCCAAGAAAAAGAACAGGTACAATTGTATGAATTACTTTTTAAGGATTTATTTTGTTTTTTAAATCATGTGTGTCTCTGTGTGAGTGTGTGCAAGTGAGTGTATGTGCTTATGGAGCCAGAAGAGGGAAATGGACCCCCTGGATTGTTGTGAGCCACCCAACATAGGTGCTGGGAACTGAACTCGGGGCCTCTGCAAGAGCAGTGCACGCTCTTAACTGCTGAGCCATCGCCACAGCCCCTGGATTATTTCTTTCTGGAAGAAAGAGCATTATTGATTGCCAAAGAGAAAATCCTTGCAGTGTATTTAAAAGATACTCCCAGCAGAAAAAACACCCAGAGGCGGGTTCAGGTAAAATAAGACTACAGCATCCTTGAGAGAATTGTTGGTGTTTCAGCAGGAAAGGAGAGAAAGTGTTTCCCCCTAGAGATCAAAGGAGCTGGATGGAGAAAAAGAAAGAACCAGCAGGGAGAAGCATATAGAAAACCCTTGGCAAAGATTGGCTGAAGGTTTACGGATTATGGAGACAATGAGGTGCCTATTACTGTGAGTGAAATTAGTGAAAACAAGAGTACAGTGCAGAGATGTGAGCTCATCTTACCTGGACCAACTTCTAAAGCCAAGGTAGATAGCTAGAAGAATGGCATCTGTGTAGCTTGAGCACATTCCTTATGTGATCAGAGATCACAGTGGATGGGCATGCAAAAACAAACAGCAAGGCAGGGATTTGGAGCATCTTACCCAGAGACTGCCTTTTAGTGTGCTCTCTCTGTCTCTCTCTGTCTCTCTCTGTCTCTCTCTGTCTCTCTCTGTCTCTCCTCTCTCTCTCTCTCTCTCTCTCTC